CACCGCATCTGCTCCCCCCGCAGCACCACCACCCTACGTTCCGGCACAGCCCAGCTACCCCGGAGCATAAGCGCCCGCGGGGACCCCGCACCCGCCGCCGGCCAGCGGGGCCAGGCTGGGGACCCCTGGGACCCCCGCTGGCGCTGGGGGACTGCCCCAGCTGGCGCTGGATCGGGCTCTTCCCGGCCATCCTGAGGCGATCCGGTGCCAACAGAACAGGGCGGCTCTTGTGCCGCACACTGGGTCCTTTGTGGGTGCCTTCTCCCCCGGCTCTGGGTGCCAGCGGCCCCGAGCACCCGCCGGGGGGGTCCGGGGGGGTCCCCCGAGGGCCGTGCACGGCTGTCTCCCCGCACGCCCACCCCCGGATTCACGCCCTGCTCTTCTTTCCCCCGGGACTGGCATTAAACCACGTCTTCTGCCCACAGCCTGGTGTCGTCTCGGTGACTCCAACAGGGAAAGAACGGCCCCAACCCCCTTCCCGCGAACTGTAACACGGGGGAACATGAATCCCGCCCTCTCCTTTCTGCTCCCGAGGCTTCTCCATCCCTAAATTGTGTCGGGACGGGTAACTCCCACCATATCAGCCATTTGGATGAGCCAGCCTGGAGTGCTGCTGCCCACACAGCCCCCTTCACTCAAAACGGGGGGGTCAAATCACCCCTGCAATCTTTTGGGTGAGAAAACAGCAAATTCAGCACCAGGATTGGGACTGTGAGCACTTGAACAATTCCTCTATCCATGTCCCCTCCCCTGGACAGGAATAAGCAGGGAAGGGTGGGTGGGTGGTGTGTCACTCCGATGGTTGTTCCTGGTGGGATTCATCCCCTCCCCAGGATCATTGGCTAAATCTGGGAACAGAGTCTATCTGTCCAGGAGAAAAGCCAGGCAGAGCCGCCTGGAAGGACAAACCCCTGTCCCATCTCCCAGGCCCCTGCATCCCATCGCCCCCAAAACCCTCTGAGACGCCCGGGGTGGGGGGAGCCGTGGGGGTACAGCTCCGAGTTTTATTGAAGTGGGGTGGACAGGAAAAGAAATAAAAATAATAATAAAAGCAGCGAGGTGGGTTCTGGGGGGAGGGGTAGGGGAGGTGTGTACACAGCCAGCTGCGTGGGGGGCTCAGGATTTGGGGACCCCCCGCTCCCGGAGGTAGAGGTCACGGATTTCGGCCAGGCTGCGACTGAGCATACCCAGTGCCTGGGCGATGGTGCGCAGCACTGCCGTGGTCTCCCGACAGCTCTCGGCGTACTCCCGGCGGAACGCCTGCATCTCCTGCACCAGCCGCTCATGAGACTGAACGAGGCTGAGCTGGGGGCACTCGGGGGTCCCGTCCAGCCCCGCCGGCCCGGGGGGCCCCGCCTCCCCCGCGCAGTGACTGAGCTGTTCGGCCTCCTGCTCCAACAGCAGACTCGGGAAGTCGGAGCCCAGCGATTCCTGCTGCCCGCTCAGATCGCCGAGGGAGAGTTCGGAGGGCGCGGGGCGAGGGGGGTTCCGGCTCCAGCCCTCGCACAGCTCGCTGGGCGGGCAGATGCCGGTGCGGGGCAGCCGGCAGTCTGAGCCGCGGCCGGGAATGCCGTCAGCAGCGGGGCTGTGGAAGGGCTCAGTCTTCACCTCCACAGGCTCCTCCTTCACCGGCTCCTCCTTGGCACCTGTGGGAGGCACGGGGAGCACAGGGCATCTGCAGGAATCTCCCGTGTCCCCAGTGCCCCAAGGACCAAGTGACAGACTCTCTTGTCTCCATCCCTGTGCTCCCACATCCCCTCTCCTGCACCCAGTTCTGGTTCCATCTATACATATCTCCACAGTCCCGTGTCCCTCATGATGGTTTGACCCCATCCTGTGTCCCTTGTCCCTCCCCTGTTCCCAGTACTCCCATACCCCTTTCCTTAATGTGGTGGCTCCATGTGCCTGCATGGTCCTGGTACGCCCATGCCCTTGTCCTAATCCACACGTATCTCTGTCCTGAATGCAGTGTCTCTATGTCCCTGTTTATGTCCCACTTCTCACTGCACGAACCCCCACGGCCCTGTTCTGGTCCCAGTACTGGCATGTTCCTTATCTGTGTCCTGGTCCTGCCCCATGTCACAGTCACAATCCCACCATGTCTTTGCCCTGTTCCCAGCCCCTTCTTATCCCTATCCAGGTCCCAGTATCCCCCTTTTGTCCTTTGGGTCCTGTCTTAATCCCAGTCACCCATATCCTTGTCCTGATCCTGGTACCCTTATGTCCTGGTCCAGGTGCCCCTGTTATTCTCCCCGTCTCCTATGTCCCTGTCCTGATGCTCCCACATCCCTGTCACCTGTGTCCCTGTCCCAATACTTCATGTTCCTATCCCTTTGCCCTGACTCTATGTTCCCTCTGTGTCCCTGTCCCAGTGTTCCTGCCCCAGTCCCCCCATGCACCTGTCCTGGTCCCAGCGATCTGTTTCAGTCTCAGTTCTCTTGCATCCCACTCCCAGTCCCCCATGTCTGTGTCCTGGACCCCTACATCCTGGTCACAGTATCCTCACATCACTATTGTGGTCTCGTGTATCCTGATCCCCTCACATCCTGGTCCTGGTCCCCTGTGTCCCCATTCCTCCCACCCCCTCCCAATCCCGGTGGCCCTGTGTCTGTGTTTTGGTTTCCCATGTCCATGTCCTGGTCCTGCACATCCTGGTCCTGGCGCTTGTCTCTCTTGACCCTTTTCCTCCATGTATCTGTCCTGGTCCCAGTGTCCCCACGTACCTGTCGCTTATCTCCACTTCCTATACCCATTTCTCCATGTCCCATTCCATCTCATCCGTGGCCCCTTTTTGGTCCCCCATGTCCCATCCCGGTCCTGCAGCAAGTCCCTGCCCCTGTCTCCCATGTCCGTATCCTGCTTCTTCATGTCCCTGTCCCACCATGTCCCTGTCCCACCATACACCTGTCCCACCATACACCGGTCCCAGTCCCAGCGCCCGTGCCTGTGCGCCGGTCCCCCAGCATTCCCGTGACCCTGCCCCGTTCTCCCGTGTCCTAGTCCCGGTCCCGCTCCCATGCCCGTGTCCCGGTTCTCCATGTCCGTGTCTCCACTCTTCCGTCGCTGCCCCGTCCCCGTTCCCGCAGGCTCACCGTGCTGTGCCGAGCCCTGGACGCTGCGCATTGCGGGATCGGTTCCGGCGGCGCCGCGAGGACCCCAGACGGGGACGGGGGCGGGCCCCGGGTCGGGCTCGGCCGCGCCGTTCCCGCTGCTCCCGTTGTTCCCGGTGCTCCCGTTCCTGGCGGCGGCCCTGCCGGCCGGGCCCTGCCGCTCCAGCCGGTGCCGGCTGATCTTGTCCCCGGCGCGGCGGCGTAGCCCCCGCCAGCGGTTCTTCACCTCGCCGATGTCGCGCTGGTGGCGGCCGGCGGCGTTCACTTTGTGCGTGATCCGCCACCAGATCTTCTGCTTCTCGTACGCGTTGACGGTACCGGCGGCGGCGCCGAACAGCAGCGGCTCGTACCGGAGCACTTCGCTCATCAGCACCTCAAGCTCCTGCAGCGTGAAGTTCGGCTTCCGCTTCAGCAGCCCCCGCCGCGCCCCGCCACCGCCCGCCGCCGCCATGCTCCCCGCCGCCGCCGCCGCCTCATGCCGCCGCCCCGCCGTCCATCGCCGCCGCCGTGTGCCCTGCGCCGGCTCCCCGGTACGGAGCGGGGGAGCGGAGCCCGACACCCCCGACAGCCCCCGCCGGGCGCTGCCGCTGCCGGGGCCGGCACGGACCGGAAGGGCCGGAGCTGCACCGCGCCCCCCAGCGGCCCCGCCGCGCGCTGCTTCGGTAACGGCGGCCCCGGTGCGTTAACGGCGCCCCCTGCCGGACCCCGCGCCCTCCCCCTCGGGAGCTCCGGTCAGCCCCGGTCAGCCCCGGTCAGCCCCGGTCAGCTCCGGTCAGCTCCGGTCAGCCCCGGTCAGCTCCGGTCAGCCCCGGTCACCTCTGGTCAGCCCCGGTCACCTCTGGTCAGCTCCGGTCAGCTCCGGTCAGCTCCAGTCAGCTCTGGTCAGCCCCGGTCAGCTCCGGTCAGCTCCGGTCAGCTCCGGTCCCCGTGGTTTTAGGTGGCACCGCCCGTGTTCGGCTGACGCCCCTGGTGCTCTGACCCCGGGACCGGTCGGATGCTCGGTGTGCGATGTCCCAGTGGCCCCGCGGTGCCCGGTTGGGGTCCCGCGTTAGCAGGGGCCGCCCCAAGGGGCAGGAGTACGGGGGCGAGGGCCGTGAGGACCCCCCAGTGTCAATACCGCTCCTCCCAGTGGGGCCACGGCGCTGCGAGGCCTCAAAAATGCCCCCCAAACCGGCGTTTCACTGGTACCGGGAGCCCCGGGGACGGGGGGAGCCCCCAGGGGACAGCCGGGTGCTGCTGCACCCCCTAAACGGCCCCGGCCCCGTGGTGCCAGAGGTGAGAGCGCTTCTGGGGCTCAACCAGGGGGTTGGGGTGACCCTGGGGCAACCCTGGGAGTTGGGGTGCCCAGTTTTGGGGTCACCCAGGGGTTTTAGGGTGACCCTGAGGCACCCAGTTCTGTATTACCTTGGAGTTTGGAGTGACCCTGGGCCAGTCTCAGGATGCCTAGTTCTGGGTGACTCCAGAGTGTTGGGGTGTCTTCATGACTCTGGGTGCCTGGTTGTCTGTGTCCAGCAGCAGCAGGGTGCCCCATCTGGGGGTCTGGGTGCCCCATTTGGGGCGGTTTTGGTTGGGTGGGTGACCAGGGACACCCAGGTTGGGGTGTCTAGGTAGTTCCAGGGTGCCCAGTTCAGGGTGGGCTGTGGGTGTGGGTGTGGGTGTGGGAAGAGCTGCCCCTGGCTGAGGTTGCTGAGTCCATTCCCAGAGACCCCCTGCATCCCCGTCTGGGGTCAGGGGGTGTGGAGTTGTCCAGGGGCACAGGAAGCGTTGGGTGAGCTTTATTACTGATGCAGTGGCCGCAGACATACAAATCGTGATCAAGGTGTCACGACAGGAAGGATGGGGAGGGAGGGTGGGCATCACATGACCCCAAAACCCACTGCACCCCTTGAGCCGGTGCTTTCCCTACTCTCTGTAAGGTGGATTTAATTTCCATGCTCTGAGGGCTCTGGGGGTCCCTCCACAGTGCTGTGGGTGCGTACAAGATGCCCCGAGCTCCTGGCTCCAGCCTGGCTCCCCATGTCCCACCACTTCCATGCCCCCTCTCTCCCTGGCTGCTCCTTTCTTCAACCCTCCCATTCCTCCTGATGTCAAGCTTGAACCCCCGACTCTGCAGCCACTGCTGCACCTTAATCCCAAAACTCTGCTGGCCACCCAGACACCTTGTGGTGATGTGATGATGGTCTGGGTGTCCCCTGCTCCACCCCAGGGCTGGGGGTACTCCTGCTCACCCCAGGCTGGACCCTGGATAGAGGGTGTCAAACCCCTTCCTTATGCTCTGACAGGGGATTTCCATAAGGATCAGCTCTGCAGACCCCTGCTCTTTTCTTGGCATCTCCAGCGGGGCACGGTGCTGGTAGAAGAGCGAGCTTGAAGGCTTCACAACCATCAAAAAATAAACACAACCTCCATCTTGTCCTGCTGGGCCTGGCCTGTCCTCTGTGTCCCAGAGAGATCCCTGCTCCTTGGCGTCGATCACTGCAGGTTCCAAAGGGCTTGTCATGGAAATGGTCATGAGAAAGGTGAGAGTCTGGGGGTCTGCCATGGGCTGCAGGGAAAAAGTCCTCCCGCTCCCTACTGCAGCAGCTTCGGCAACTCCACCTGCAGGGAAGGACACCCCATTACTGGGAGAGCAAAGGGAGGGGCTGCAGGAATGTCCCTGACATGGTGCAGGGACATCCAGGGCAGGGTTAGATGGGATACTGGGGAGAAATTCCTCCCTGTGAAGGTGGTGAGGCTCTGGCACAGGTTGCCCAGAGCAGCTGTGGCTGCCCCATCCCTGGAAGTGTTCAAGGCCAGGCTGGATGAGGCTTGGAGCAATGTGGGATAGTGGAAGGTGTCCCTGCCCATGAAAGGAAAGATGATCTTTAAGGTGTCTTCCAGCCCAAACCATTCAATGATGTCTTTCTCTTGGCCAGGCTGGTTGTCCCCACACTCCAGCCTATGGACAGCCCAGCAGAGACATAAAGCACCTGGAGTGTGCGAGAGGTTTCAATGCTCCATGCTGGGACCAGCATTAGGCCCTTTTGTTCCAGCACCTGCATGGGGTACGTACACGACATTGTGCTGCCCAAGGGTGAATTTATGGGCCTCCGGTATTAGGAGGACAGTTGCTGCCACAGCTTTCAAGCATCCAGGCCACCCTTGGCCTACATTGTGTAGCTGTTTAGAGAAGTAGGCCACACCCCTCTGCTGGTCCCCAAGGTGCTGTGTCAGTACCCCCAGAACAACATTCAGTCGCTTATATGTAAAGAGTTCAAAAGGCTTAGTCAAATCTGGCAGTCCCAGAGCTGGGGCTGACATGAAGGAATGTTTCAGCTGCTTAAATGCAGATGAAGCCTCTCCAGCCATCCTGGGCTCAGCCACAAAAAGATATTAAGAACCCAGTGAGTTATAACTTATGGATGGCTTCTTCCTTGTGTCCCAAGCCCTGGATCCTGGTGGATCTGCCCAACACAGGAGCTCTGCCAAGGGATGGACATGCTGGCCTTGCTCTGCAGGGATGGTATTAAAGGATGGATCTTCCTTCCCCATGTGCTTGGCAAAGGGACGGATCTGCCCCTCTGCAGGGGTTGGGAGCATGGACACCCCACTCCAGAGAAGGACACTGCCAGAGTGACAATGGCTATGACCTCAGCCCCCAGCCCCCAGCCCCCAGCCCCCAGCCCCACCTTGTGCATGGGCCCCACCTGGCCCTGCACTTGCCTTCTTGAGCTGTTTGAGGTTGCTGGAGCGAATGGCTGCCAGGAGCTGGTCCCGAGAGTTCTTCTCCTGGACTGGCAGCGCCCGGTCTCCCAACTTTCTCTGCGTGGCTGGCGAGAGCGAGTTCTTCAGGTTCTCATTGATCATCAGTGGTGGGGCGAGCGGAGGAGGAGGTGGGGGTGGCATGGCAGGTTCCCCCCCTTTCTTGGGAGAGCTTTTGGGGGAAGCCTTGGGAGATGGCTGCGGGGATGCCTTGGGGGACCCCTTCAACAGTGGTCCAGCCTTGGGCACCTCCAGGAGGACTTTCTTCTCGCCCTGTTCCTGTGCCAGTTTCTGCTCCTGGAGGCGTTTCTGCCTCTGCCTGTCCATGTTTCGGCTCAGCAGGTTGGTGACGGTCATGCGTGGCCCAGCCAGCTCGAAGTGGTAGCCCAGCTTCAAGAGCGTGGTGTTCTCCTTCAGGAGCTTGGCAATCTCCATCTCTGTCTTTCCCCCACAGATGTGCCGCTGGTTGTGGAAACGTAGCTCTGTCAGCGTGTTGTTCTGCAACAGTGCCCGGAAAATGGCCAGGATACCCTTGCCAGTGATGTGGTTGGAGTCTAAGTTGATGCTTGTCAGCACCTTGTTGGACTTGAGCATTATGGCAATGGCAAAGGCCACGTGGTCATCAGCGCGGGTGTTAGCCAGGGCAAACACCTTGACCACAGTGTTGAACTCCAGGGCCTCGGTGAAGCGCACCAGGGTCTCGTTGTTGATGCAGTCAGAGTTATTCACGTTGACCTCGGTCACCTCAGCATCATTGTTCTTCACCTTCTCGATGAGCTCGTCAAAGATGCTGGAGGCTTCGTCGTCCTTGGCTTGATCTGCAGAGCTGCTGGAGGAAGGCTTGGAAGGACTGCTTCCTGCTCCTGCCTTGGCCTCCTGTTTCTCCTCCACCTTTTCTGCCTTTTCTGCTTCTGCCTGGGATTTGTCCTTCTCATCTGCCTTGGATTTTTTCAGAGCTGAAGCCTTTTCCTCTTCTTTTTTATAATTTTCTTTCTTACCTTCCCCTCTAATGTCTTTTTCTGCATGTTTCTTTGATTCTGAACTCTTCTCCTTTTTGTCTTTCCCTGTGTCCTTTGATGCTGAATCTTCTTCTTGCTTTTTTTCCTTCTCTGTCTCCTCCTTTTCTGCTGAGACTTTCTCTTCATCCTTTTTATCCTTCCCTGCATCCTTCTTTTTAAAAGATGAGCTGCTATCTTCCTCCTTTTTATCCTTCCCTGCATCCTTCTTCAACCCTGAGCTCTTCTCTTCCTCCTTTTTTTCCTTCCCTGTGTCCTTCCTCAACACTGAACCCTTCTCTTCTTCCTTCTTGTCCTTCCCCATAAGCTTTTTCTCCATGGCCTTGACTTTATCATTCATAGCTTTATTCTCTTTGCTCTTGGTCTCAGTCTCAGCTTTACCTTTCAGGTCTGTTTTCGAAACACTTTCTTCCTTTTTAGAGTCTTTCCCCACTTTAGTATCTCGTTTCTGGGCCAGGTCTTTGGAAGAAGATTCCTTTCCTTTTTCGTCTTGATTTTTGTCTCCCTTATTCTTGCTCAACCTGCTTTCCTAGGGAGAGAAAAACACCTAGGAATTACAGAAACAGATGCCTTTGACCTACAGACTTGCCACCCCAGTCTCACTGTCACAGACCTGCATCCTGCAGCCTGTGGCTGGCCTTTGGAAGAGGAATGTTTGGCCCAGCCAAGGTCCCAGCTCTAGGGAAGGGTTCAGCATCTGAGTGCCTTGAATGTAGGCAGAGCCTACAGGACCCAGGTGTGATGAGGTCCTGCTGCAACTCTGCAAGGCAGTTCTGCTCTCCTTCTGCCTCCAGCCCCCTCCCAAAGGGCTCTGGAGGTCTGCAGGACACCCTTGCCAAAAGGCCATAAACTAATAAGCTGTAGGAGGCACCTTCCTCATACCCCCTATAAGTTAAATGTTTTTAATCATTTTTCTAACTAGAGATGGATGCAGTGCCTGTCTCCCTGTGAGCCCCAGGTACTCCCCACCTTTCCTGAATGGTTTCCAGCTGGATGCTTGGTGGCTTTTCACAGTCTATAGCCCAACATTCTCCACACTGTCCTGAATGTGTATGCAAGCAGGGGAGTGCCCACAGCAGTGTCCCCAGTGACACTGCTGACCCAGCAGTCACTCCAACCCTGGGCTCTGCAAAACCATTCCCCTTTCAACAGCAGTTTGCATTTTTGAGCAGAGAACCAAGGAAATGGGAGCATGGCATTTATTGCTTTCTAATGCATGAGGCTCTCTCAGCACATCTGCTCCCAGTGTCCAAAGAATCATAAGAAGCAAGGGCTTAACTTGGAGAGTCTGGGGGAAGGTCAGAAGGAAGATTTGGTCATTTTTAAAAGCGCCTGACCTTTGCCCTCGATACAGCCTGGGCATTGCTGCTGGCCACAGCCAGCTCCAGCAGCTGGACACAGCCAATGCCTCATTGCAGCCTTCAACCAAGGCTGAGGGGTTGGGAGGAGTCTCCGTCAGAATTGGAACCACCTCTGATATGGTTCCCATCCTTCTCTCTAAACTGCTGGAGGGCAGAGTTAGAGGGGATATAGAGAAGAAATTCTTCCTTGTAAGGCTGGAGAGGCCCTGGCACAGGTTTCCCAGAGAAGCTGTGGCTGTCCCATCCATGGAAGTGCCTAAGGCCAGGCTGGACAGGGCTTGGAGCAACCTGGGATAGCAGAGGGTGTCTCTGCACATGGCAGGGGGTGGAATGAGATGAGCTTTAAGGTTTCTTCCAACCTAAACTAGTCTGGGACTCCATGACATGAAACAAATCCATTCCCAAGGGAGAGGAGCCAATGCTTCACGTGGTTGAAGGCAGATAAATTTGACACTGGGACCAAGTTTGCTGCACAGTGGAGGATCCTACCTCCATTTCACATCAAGGTTTGGCAATTTAAATGCCCTTCTCCCTCCTTCACAGCTAGGGAACACACAGGTCCTCACCACTGGCCCGGTGCACCATCTTTGCTGGGGAGATTTTAGAACTCCTGGGAAAGGAGGAAGGAAGATGCCTCTGGCAGATACATCTGTGATGCCTTTACAGTCTGCCTGGACCTTCTCATGATTATGACAGCACTGTGGCTTCACCCACTGCCTGGAAGCCCCAAATCTGAATCCTGACACCTCAGTCTGCAGTCAGGCTGGCCTCCTCCTCTTCATCCCATGGCTCCATGGTGTCCAATCTGGGGCAGCATGAGGCTGAGCTTTCCCCACAGGAAGTACTGCCAGCCCTCAGGGACAGATTTTTGTGGAAGGAACTGGCTGTGCATGGGCAGCCCTGGGGACTGTTTGTACCTGGTGTATAAACAGATGCCATCAGGGATGAGAGAGCTGTTTATTTAGTTAAGAGATTTCTTGGCTCCCTGGCACAGGGACAGGAAGGCTCATGCCAGACCTCTACAGAGCCTGGCCTGGCATCCACACAACCCCCACTGCTGTCACCCCAGGGACCAGGGATGTGGCTTTCAGAGGTGTCCTAGGTGCTGCAGGAAGCAGGTGATGCCACCTCCTCTGGCACTGAGCTGGGGCTCCTTCTCACCAAGCCGTGGTGGCCTGTTCCCAGCACCAGGATGGTGCACAGATGCCCAGTGACATCCTGAACACCTCAGTGGAGGACGAACCCTGGCAGGAGGACTGTGGGATGAGGACACTGGTGTTCCCCTCCTGGTACCCAACAGGGCCTCTCCAAGGTGTTTGGGAGTGCCCAGGTTGCAGGTTCCTGTGGGAAGGGACATTTATCCTCCTAAGGGCTCTGCAACCCTTTGGTGACCACAGGCTGAGTATCCCACGAGTCAGAGCCAGCAGCTTCATCTCCGCAACAACTGCTCCAAAAATCGTTCTCCTTCCCAGCCCAAGCTCACCCAGCCTAACACTGGGGAGCTCTGAGTCTCCCCTGAGCACCCTGGGCACATCCAAGACCAAGAGGAGCAAAGACTTTGGCCAGGGATGAGCAGATCTTGAAGAAAGGAAGAAAAACCCTGGTAAGAAGACCAGCAACCTCTCCCATGCTTGGAGAAGGCAATGCTTTACTCCAAGCAAATGAAACTGGAGGGAAATGAAATCCATGGCAAATCCCTGCTTGGGAAAGCTGCTGCAGCATATGCTGGAAATGTCCTGTTATCTGATTAAAGCTTCCATCCATGGATGTGTGGCTGCATGTCCACGTGCTGCGGCATGGGGCAGGTTTGTGGGAGGAGAGATGTGGAGCCAGAGAATGGGATGTGGGAAAAGAGCTGGGGGAAAAGGAATCAGGAGAGGGAGCTGGGAGAAGTCAGGGAAAAGAAGATGGAGCAAAAGGAGCCAGCTGTGGCGCCAGGCATGGGAACAAGGGAGTGCAACAGATATGCAGTGACCATCACAGATGTTTCTGCCACTGTGGGTAGCGTTTGTGGGATTATTTGCATCCAGCAAATTTGGGATGCATCCGAAGGATCCCATCTAAGAACTGCAGGTTACTGGAAGAAGTGCTGGATGGTTGCAGAGTGTGAGAGGGATTCAAGTTGCTTCATCTCCTGCGGAGCTGCCTTGGGAAAGCCCTTGGCAAGTGCCCAGCTCCAGTGGCAGCAGAGGGGGAAGAATCAGAGGAAAAAATATTCAGGCAAGAAACTAGATCTGTGTTTCTAAAACCAAGGGTCACTGTGGCCCATCTCCATCCCTTGCTGGAACCTGGGGACATCTCCAAAGCAGGTTTGCTCCGCGTCCTGCCTGAGGCCACATGTGTGCCCAGGAGGGAACATGTCCTTGTCCCCTCCTGCCTTTCCACCATTCCTGGGCTCTTGGTGTGTCTCACTGGCCCAGCCCATGCTGCAGGTGTCAGCCTCAGGTGTCAAAAGCCCACCACTGGTTATAATGCCAAAGTCCTTACCTCCAGGCTGGAAGTGCAACTGCAAGTGGAGCTCTGTGGCAGAGCTGTGTGGCAGGGGTGGAGAAGAGGAAAGAGAAAAGCACCTTTCCCCTGCTTTCAAACCCCTGGCTGTCCCTGTGGCCACCAGCACATCTTCTCCTGCAGCCCAGGGCCAGCTGTCCCCTCTTCATGGCCATCCTGAGTTCTACCTGCTCACTCCTCTCTGCCCATTGGCATATTTACCTTGGGTACCTGGAAACCAGTGCTGCTGCACCCCCTCTGTGCCATTCCCGCCGTCACAAGCATATTTATTAGGGGAATATTTTTACACAGCATGTCAGACCTTTAAAAATAAGCCTAATGAAAACAGCCTGGTAGTCGGTTGATTAATCACCAGTGTTTTGATGAACTGAAATGCCTTCCCGTTTCCTCTAAATAGACTAAAATGAGCATTGCCATGGCTTGTTAGCATTTGTAACCCTCAAACCCACTCAGATGTTGCCTTAAAAGGCAAAGGAGACTGGGAACTTCTTGCCTGGAATCCAAGCACTCGCTCCAGCACTGAGCAAGAGATGGGGCTGGGGACAGAGCTGGGGATGGGGAGAGTGAATCTGGAGGTGGAGTGAGGGTCTCACTTCCTGCACCAAAAGCTCCACAGCTCATTTTGGTGTAGAAAATTGCTGGTTTAATGGTAGTTATTGATCTGGCTGTTTGTTCAGCAGGTGGAATGTGGGCATAGTCACCCTGCTGTGCCCACAGCAGATTTCCAAGGGAAAGGGGAACGGGGAGGGAGGGGAGGAGGTGTTACTCAGAGATTCACTGTACCCAAGGTTAGGAAAGGGGCACTTGGTGGTCCAGCAGATGCTGTTAAATCAGTCCCTGGCAAAGGGGACATATGGAAATATGTTTGCAGAAGTTTAGGCTTTGGAAGGAGCCAACTTTCCTCATCCTGCAGTTATTTTCAGAGGTATGTCCTGGGAAGAGTCCCTCATGGTCCCACCATGGCAGGGTGTGCTTGGCTCAGCCAAAGAACAAGATGTGAGGATGGAATCTTGGGAGAATGAGCAGCTCCGTGCTGGCTCCAGGGAGGAGTACCCCACTGGGGTTCAAGGAGGGCTTGGCTGAAAGGGGAAAGCCAGAAGGCCCCCAAGGTCAGAAGGGCATGTAGCTTCTGGAGTAAGTCCTGAAGAGGCTACAGAAATGCTCTGAGGGCTGGAGCCCCTCCGATCTGGACACAGACTGGGAGAGCTGGGGATGTCCAGCCTGGAGAAAAGAAGGCTCCAAGAAGACCTTAGAGCCCCTTCCAGTGCCTAAAGGGGCTCCAGGAGAGCTGGAGAGGGATGTGGGACAAGGCATGGAGAAAAGGACAAGGAACAATGGCTTCCCACTGCTAGAGGGCAGGGTTAGATGGGATATTGGGAAGGAATTCCTCCCTGTAAGGATGGTGAGGTCCTGGCATAGGTTGCCCACAGAAGCTGTGGCTGTCCCATCCATGGAAGTGTCCAAGGCCAGGTTGGGCAGGGCTTGGAGCAGCCTGGGATAGTGGAAGGTGTCTGTGCCCATGGCAGGGCTGGAACTGGATGATCTTTAAGGTCCCTTCCCACCCAGACCATTTCATGATTCAAGAATCCAGGAGGCTCCTCTGTGCAGGTGACTGCTGGAACATAAATCATGCTGGTTTCCATGAGGAAAGGGGCGAGTC